GATGGAGAAATAGATACATTTTAACTACAAGTTCAGTTTAAAACAAGTGCACAATCGATACGTGAATACGAAGTTGTATCTGGGAACATAATTTGCCTACCAACCACTCTAAAGACTCGAGGAAGTTTTCATTCTCTTGGCTGTTTTTTTGGCAAGCTAAGCCTGCGGGCTTTAAATTATAGACAAAAAACTGTATCAGATTTCTCATGTAACTGCAGATCTACAGTATTTCTGATATTTTTCCATCTACATTAGATGAAAAACAAAAAAACAATACAGCATGATAAAAATGTACCTGGTGTCTTTCTTCAGCCGCCTGTCCGGTGTTGTGCAGCGGTAACGGCCAGTACACCAGGGGGCGCTGTCAATGCTACAGCGGCTGGAAAGGCACCGAGTGCGACGTTCCTGCGTCCCAGTGTATTGATCCTCAGTGCGGGGGACATGGGCTCTGTGTTGCTGGAAACTGTGCGTGCAACACAGGACACAAAGGAACCAACTGTGAACAAGGTAACCTGAAAATAAGAATTCTTCCCTCTGGATTCAAAGCGGCAAGATGCAACATATTCCTGTGTGAAGCTCGGGGGGGGAATCGACACAGTCCATTGGTGAAACAATTGGTGTTTTCGACTCCACCGAGCAGATAATGCTTTGGATGTCGTTATTGATACGGGTTGTATGAATTAACTCCCTCTTAGTGTTTCGAACACATCAGGGTACACGCTGGAACAGATTGAGCAGAGTCTATTGATGCAGTCACCTATTGGAAGACTCCACAGATGAAGACACTTGTTAAAATCAATCAGTCAATGGCATCTGTTCCTCTGCTTACTAAGGAAGTGCTCCTTCTTCTCTCTTGTCAAGCTCTTTCACCTCCCCCGTTCACTTCAGTACTTCAGTGCATTTAACTTTATTGATCTCCACGCAGACAAAAAGCAATTATAAGCTCCGATTTACAGCTTACAGGAGCTTTTGACCTTACATGTAAAATGCTATTAAGTTCTTTAATGAATATACTGTGGTTTTCTTTGAAGTGAAACAATATGGGAAGGAAACATTTATGGGAGGAAGCTGCTTTTGTAGCTCCAAGTAAGGGCTCCAGTTTGACAAATTGGCAAATAATCATTATCAGCGTCCGAGTAGATATAGAAATGCACGGCGCAATCAGCACTAGAAGAAGCAGAAAAACGTTGCAGGAAATTATCCCTTGTTAGTAATGGGTTGATTATGTTGGTCATAATTGCCAATTATTAACCTAGATCAGCAAGTTGGTCTGCAAATTGTTAATAGTAATTGATTGTATCTGTCTAGACACTAATTGTGCTGCTTTTCCTATCGCCTGTAATGGAGCATAATTATGCTGCTAGTATGTTGGAAGCACCCTATAATATACCGTAGAGGAACTGGTTGAACATAGGGTGGAAAATTACTACTGGCCACCACCAAACCCTGCAAAAAAATTTCAGCTGCGCCTCACCAGCCATCATCTGACACTCAAGTATTTCTACTCTAAAATGATTTTTGGCTGGTAGCAGACTCAAAGTGGCCAGGGTAAATAAGTAGGGTTATATCCAATCTAAAAGTGGTAAACTGACATTGCTGTCACACTTGCTGTGTGTCCTCAGTGGACTGTGTGGACCCGACGTGCTCTGGTCACGGAGCCTGTCATCATGGCGAGTGCCACTGTAACCCAGGCTGGGGAGGGATCAGTTGTGAGATCCTGAAGAGCACTTGTCCAGAGCAGTGCTCCAGTCACGGCACCTTCAACACCGACTCGGGAACCTGCATCTGCGAGGCGAACTGGACAGGTGCCGACTGCTCCATAGGTCAGAACGCTTTTTCGCTTTCTTTCCACCTCCTAAAGCTGTCGTGATTTCAGGTTATATAATATTTATTATTTTCAAAGTCATTAAAGAATAATTTTATTCAATAATTCATTTTAATTAACAGTTTGCTCAATGAAACCTTAATGTGATGAAAAACGGTGACACACACATACCTTAAGGTCAAGAAGAAATCTGTGAATTGGAACTAAATATGAATATGAATAAAAACGTATCGCACTGGATCTCAGCAATCTTTGACCATTTACCTTGAAAGGTGACACACTATTTAATACCGTTCTGTTTCGTTCCTTTGCTTTCCTGTCAACCGACTAAACGAGCTTCAGCTTTAATTTGATTTTCATTAATATACTGACAGAAGTTTGCCTTGTTTCTGTCGCAGCTCTGCTTTTGGTCTTTTTCATATTTTAGGCACATTTTCAAATTCTACACATTTGCCAAAATAGAATTAAAGCAAGTTGGTGTTAAATCTGTAGTCTTTTATTGTATTTGTCTGTCACATTGCTGATTAGTGCAGGGTTGTTCCCCAAACAAGTCAATGCAGACAGTGCAGCGAGATCTATAGTATTTTTTTTTTCACTTTTTTGTTGAAGAAGTTTCTCTAACGAGTAATTGGTACCACATTTCTCTGCGTGTATTCCAAATAAACTCCCCCTCTTGCTGTGCACAGACACCGGGTATCGAAAACAGCAGATGTGCAAGCCTTTATTACCGGTTTTAAGTTGAAATAAAAGCTGTCTCACACAGCGCGGTGCATCTACTTCTGGTTATCTTATTAAGAAACCTAAACAACAATTATTTCAATTTTGAGTAGAAATTAAAAAAAAGGAATTAGAAGAGAAATTTGTGTGATTTATGATTTGATCTTTAATAATTTAACAAAAAAAAAAACGACACAATTTGAGGTAATTTATCACTGATGTTTTTGAAATATCTTTAAAAGAACATTGAAGAACAATTTGTTTTCCTAAATGAATATGCCACGTTTTGGAATGAACATTTTAAATCAGTCATAAATCAGTGTTTCTCAGCTTTCTCACACATAAAGCATAAAGGAAACAAAATTATTCATTTGTTGAATCATAGCCTGGGACTGCACCAACAGATAATGATGAATAGGAGTTTGGCTGACTGACATTTCTCATCTAAAGAGCCATGAATACATGTTGCTTTGGTGTTTTATGAGCGCTGCTGTTGGTTACACCTTTTTTATACCACCCCGTTTCTTGTTTATTTTCACAATACAACATTTTCAACTAAAGACAGTATGTTTTATGATGAGGAAGCGTTCCCATACGGGCAAATGGGAATAACAATAGCAAATGTCTGTTTACATGACACAAACACTCCAAAAAAAACCCCCAAATCTCAGCTGTTTACCAAGTGAAAGTAAGAAAGTAATTTCACCTGACTCCAGGAAACAAACCCGATACAAAGGCTTTGTTGGATATAAGGAGACAAATAATGACATGAGTCACTCATGTTTGGACATAAGTCTAGACCAGTGGTTCTTAACCTTGTTGGAGGTACCGAACCCCACCTGTTTCATATGCGCATTCACTGAACCCCTCTTTAGTGAAAAATAAAATGTGATTTTTTTCAAATTCAAGACATAGATATGTTTTTTACTGGTGCACAAAATGTATGCATGTCATGAGGCTCTGCTGAACCCCTAAAATCCAACTCACCGAATCCCTAGGGTTCGATCGAACCCAGGTTAAGAACCACTGGTCTAGACTGAAATCTGTCCTAGTTCTGCTAAGTTCATGCTTTGCTTTTCTTCCTAAACTTTCTTTGTTAAAAAACCTACAAAACCAGCATATGACTTTGCTTAAATTGGATTACCATATCAGATGGGTTTTGATTTGCTTACCAGTTTGAACCTAAATGATTTTTTTTGTCATAGGCTGAATAACTCAAACTGCCGATGTGATCACACCGTCAAAGTTGTGTAGTGAACACTTGTAGCGTGCGCAGATTATAAACACAGCATATGTTCAGGACAAAAGCGTCGACTCCACGCTACTTTTGCGTGACCTGGCATATGTTCTTCTTGAAGAGCAACACAAATGTATTTTTAACATCATAAATGCAATGTAGTTTTGCTGCAGCTTTAGGTTTATTTCCGAGGAGATGAGAACAATTAGTATTCCCAGCTGCTCACAGCACACCCTTTTCATTCGTTACCAGGTTTGCATTCAGGCGGTTTATCTCTCGACACAGGTAGGTGACATGATAGTTCAAAGGCTGGCCCCTCCCATCTGTTATCTGTGCGTGAGATGTAGATGATTTATTTGCAGTTCCCCCCTCTTGGAATACACTATTTCTGTGTGTGTGTGTGTTAAAACCAGAGAAAAACACATGCTGAGTCAAACAATTAAAACCAGAAAGTTGGAGTTT